ATTTTTTTTAACAAAAAGAGGGTGGGAGAATACGGGGGGGGGGGGGGGGGGGGGGGCGGTGCAGCTTTGTTTTGAAAGGCTAGACCTGCCAGTGCCTCACCTTCGGGATGAGATGCGGGGGTCCGTCCGCTAACATCTTGCTGTACCTCACCGTCAGCTGGAAGTAAAGCATCACCACCTGAGGGCCGGGTCAGTGTTGCGGTCGTGCAAGAGCATTGGTTGATTGGTCGGGCCCGTGAACGAGCCGGTGAGAGGCAACACCCGGAGATGAAGGTTTTCCAGAAATGGCAGCCGCCAAAAAGGGTCCTCTCGTTTCGAGAAGCTGGGACGACATGGGTTCAAAGACGTTTGTTCAACCCGTATGTGGCCCAAGCAAAATCGAGGAAAAGTCCACCAGTCCAGCCGGAGGACGGGCGAACACATCAAACTCTTCAATTTCAATGATAACCAATATGACGGTGCCGTGCAGGTAGACAGCAAAACACAAACAACGCTGGAATCAATAGCGTCCCCCAACCTCCCAAGACGACCACAATGGCGCAGTGGACACATCCAGCGCAGCAGCAGACGAATCCGATGCCAAACCGTACTTCCCGTGGCTACCTACCAGGCACAGAGCTATCTCCAACTATTTCGCTAACCTGGGGGTGCTTGTGCCGCGCCACGTCGCTGTCGTGCAGCGCGAGCACCATCTGCGGGAACGCGCCGGACCTCAGCAGCTCTGCCGCGCCGGGAGCAGCCGGTCGCCGCCCTCCCCCCACCCCACCCCCCCCGCCCGAAGAGTTCAAGACGCTGACGCCGCCGCAGCCCTCGCCGAAGTGAAAGATGAGGCGAAGCGCGGCCTCCAGGTCCGGGAAGGGGAGGCCGGAGAGCGGGGTCGGGAGGGACGACAGGGCCCGGCAGATGAATTCGAGGACGGTCTCGGGAGCGTTCCGGATGGCGTTCACGAGGTGCTTGCGCAGCTGCTGCCTCAGCATGTCTTCCTCCCCCTCGTCCTCGTCGCTTGGGTCGAACGCGAAGTCTGGGGGGTATCTGGGGGGTGGGGGGGG